CTGCCAGCGCGCCCCAAAAGGGGTTCTGAAGTTTCCCCCTTGGGGCGGCGCGCCTCTCAGAGCGCCAGCAGGTGCCTTCTGAATTTCAAGGGCTGGTGCTCCGCGCCTTGCAGAGCGCCAAGGACACCAAGTTTCCACTTTCATTCCCCACTTTCTAAGGCATGTTCCATGGTATTGTACCTATGTTTCCTAGTTGTTTTCAACATTCCAAGGTACTCTAAAAGTCAAGAACTCATCCGTATCCTGTGATCAAACACCTTGAATTCATAAGTCAATTCAAGGAGAGTTAGAAGTCAAGCAAGGTTAAGGATTTAGTTCAAGCAAGTTTCAAGGTTGTTCAAGAGTCTTTATTGAATGTTTTAACTTCATTTTAAGACTCAAGTTTCAAGTCAAGGGAATAGAGTTTCAAGCTAAGTAAAGAGTCTCAAGGTTCAAGTTGAGTCAAGAGTTTAAAGTTAAGTTCATTTCTCAAAAGCTATTAGGGAACTAAGTATTCCCAAAGAAGTTTCTAAATGTTTTTTTTACATTTGAGTAAGAAAGGAATGATGATTTCCAAAAGAGCCTTTGGGCTAGTTTTCAAGAAAAAGGAACATCGATTCCAAGTGAGCCTTTGGGCTAGATTTTGAGTAATTATCTCAATTAAAGAAAGATATGTTTAAAACACTTATGAGCTAAAGTATTTTGGGAGTAGTATCGAGCATCGAATTGGGGATACGAGTTCATATTAAACTCAACTCTCCATAAGAACCATGTATCCAACATGGGAGTTAACGGGTCATACTTTTTAGATGAACCCGTAAAGTTAAGCTAGTGGATCCACTTAGTAAAGTTAGCTTCCTATATCACGGCAAGGTATAGGATGGTCCTCGGGCAACGTGAGGTAAAACGTTGTATCACCACTCAAATTCATAGCGGTGGTTTGTCGTTTAGAGAAGCTCCCACAGTAAAAGAGCTTGGTTCCTCGAGGGTTCTGCTTAGTATGGATGGGGGTATGGGACTTCATTCATACATTGCACAAGTAGACCTTGAGAGGAAGCATGGTATTTTCATGATATTATAAATATGATTTTTACGTCATGTTTTAAGAGTTTTACCAGCTTTATATATTGCATGTGTCTTATTGCTTTATATATTGAGTTCAGTTATTCATGAGTTGAACAGAGCCAAGGTAAGTGTTCTCTTGTACTCTTTTCAAGCTTAAGTTGTGGTTTAGCTTTCCAGCTCGCATACTCGTACATTCAATGTACTAATGCCAGTTAACCTGCATCTTATGACGATGCAGACACAGGTACCCCAGACCTGCATCCTGTATGCCGTTGATCTAGCTGAGCACTCTAGAGTCAGTGGTGAGCCTCCTTGCTTTCCGGAGGACTAAGATATTTGTTCTTTAGTTTTGTGTTATTAGGATGTTGCGGGGTCTGTCCCAACATCCATCTCAGTATGTTAGAGGCTTCATAGACAGTCAGTCAGTTAGTATTGAGTCTCTCATCTTTGTATTTATGTAAATATTCTATTTTGAGACTCGAGCTGCCTTTTGGCATGTTATGCATCAGTTGGTGGTTTTATAACCTTTCATTGCATTGAGTTATTATGTTGAGTTAGGTTTCCGCTGAGTTAAGAAAGCCAGGCCAAGGGTTCGCTTGGGGCCAGCGATGGTCTCCGAGTGCCGGTCCCGCCCAGGGTGTAGACTCGGGGCGTGACAAGAATTGAATTTGTTGCCAAAAGAACCAACAGTGATCTATGTGGACAATAAATCAACCATTGCGATGGCTGAAAATTCGGGGCAGCATGGAAGAACAAAGCATATCAACATAAGGTTTCATGCTTTAAGAGATGCTGAGAAAAATGATGAAGTTAAGTTGGTGCATTGCATCAGTGAAGATCAGCAGGCCGATATTCTGACCAAGGCTCTTTCCAGTAAGAAGTTTGAGTTTCAAAGGTTGTTGCAAGGAGTTTCTATGAAAAATCTTAAGGAGGAGTGTTAGAAAATTAAGATTTGTCTAGAAACTCCTAGATTGGAGATATTTTGTATTAGATATGTTAGAAAAGTAAGATTTGTCTAGAAACTCCTAGGTTGGAGATATTTTCTATTAGATATGTTAGAAAAGTAAGAATTGTCTAGAAACTCCTAGGTTGGAGATATTTTCTATTAGATATGTTAGAAAAGTAAGAATTGTCTAGAAACTCCTAGGTTGGAGATATTTTCTATTAGATATGTTAGAAAAGTAAGAATTGTCTAGAAACTCCTAGGTTGGAGATATTTTCTATTAGATATGTTAGAAAAGTAAGAATTGTCTAGAAACTCCTAGGTTGGAGATATTTTGTAGTAGATATGTTAGCTATAAATAGACCATATGTAATGAAACATCTAGTGAAAAAAAATTTGAACTCAAGAAAACTTAAGCCTTCTTCTTCACTTTCAGATTTTCTGTAGCAATTTATAGCAGCGATTTCCTATTGTTTACACCTTGTAGACCTGAAGTTCTTTATCTTTTTCGTTGTAACACATACAACAGACATTCAAGGGAAGGAGAAGCTTAAAACTACCAACAATGTGAGATGCAATAAGCAGATGTAGGTACGTCTCCCTCTATACATTGCACACAGTAAGAACATTAGTACATCACAAATGAACGGTAAAAAGAGGTAAAGCCCGCATTTCTTCATTGCGCTCCATGCAGTTACAGGTGGTGGATTATTTGTTCCACACAGCTTTTTCACTTCCTGAAAGTTCAAATTACAGAAAAGTTAACCAAAAACCTCTAATATGACCAAAAAAAAGAAGCAAGGTAGGTCTAGAAAGCAACACATGAAGAGCTAGCTCTGGCACATTTTACATTTACCATGTACTAAACACAACTTGCTGGCCTATTTGAGCAAAAACGACTAGCTCCATTTCCCAAAATTTGAGAAATGTCAGAGGTGTTTCAGTTCACATTCTAAACAGTGAAGATGAACAAATATAAGGTAGTTAAATAATCTCAAGTCTAAACTGCATGAAAGCGGTGCACAAATGGTACATGTAGTCTATAAATACCAAAAGAAAATAAAAACTAAGAAAGGGTCACAAGATATACTCATGTTGTGGATGCAACACATTGACCTTCCCAAAAATGGGTGATTTGATTCAGAGCTGTAGCACTTCACAAAAGGCATAGCCCTTGGGCGTTTTAACCTTTTTCCTTCGTATTATTTCCACTAAGATATACAATTAAACTTACCTTGGCTACGTCTCATTTCTCCCCTCTTACCTCTGTTTAGTATCTAACGTAGGATGCAAATCAAGAAATAGAACCACAACAATAACTAAATCAATGTTTCAAATTCTTAAAACTGTTTTACTACAAGGACTAGATATTTTTCCTTGTTTCTACATGCTTGGCTACATTAACTTTTGTCGGATTTCAAAGTCACAACTAATAGTTGATACCGTAATGAAATAAGAGTTCCCCTTGAAATGATGCATCGAAAAAGGCTATTCATCACTCACTTGGTGACACATAACCATAGCACCTAAGAATTCTGAAAAGGTCCAGTTGCATATACATCAGCCCCTCTATTTAGGAACAAAGATAAATGAGCTCTCTCTGTACAGCAGGGGAGCTTCATTTTCAAAATAATGAAAGATGAATTATTTTTTGTACTTATTAACTTAGAAGACAGAACCATCTTAAACAAAGCTTCATATCCCAATTTATTTCTCTACTTTCTCCTGTTCATTGGCACCTCCAATCTACTCTAGTGATCATAACAGCTAAATGTGTTTCCTCAACTGCTTTCTCCTTCCTACTCACTTTTGTTCAAATCAATGTTATTTACCAAACAGAAAGAAGATTCAGCTAGTGATTGACCAAATATGTAGTCGAATGAGAAGACAAAGAAAAATAACATCAAGCTATACGCATCACCGAGGAACATCAAAACTGGATAGTATGTCTTACTTTCCTATTCCATAATTCCCTTACTTTTTTTTCTTTCCCGTTATTAAGTTTCAGCTAAGAAGACTAGTAAAAGTAGGCCATGGATTAAAATATTACCCGAGCCAAGGGTTACACAGATCCTCTGCCATGATATCCGTGTCCGTGATGGTCTTTATGCTTAGTTTGTCTTGTCTAGATGCAAAAGAAGTTGTTACAGAACTTCTCAAGAAGTGAAAATAAACCTCATGTTCAATTTATTTAGTGGTAGAGACTAAAAACTATAACCAAATAATTGTTCTTGCGACAAGTGATTTCATGGAACTATGCTCAAAGACAAAACAGGAAATCAGAGAATAATTAGTGTAAAGATGTTGCATACGCAATATCTTATTCTATATTTCACTCCCCGAGGCTACCCCCTAGACGTAACACGGAACCTAGGATCACAAGTGAACCCAAGCTAACCCTGAGTCTGGCTTATCACAAGCATACTGAAAATATAACTAAGTAATCGGAAGCATAACTATAAAATGAGTCAAAACTAAAAGGACTCCAAATGAAAATAGAACTAAATATCTAGGTGAAACAACCACAA